TTTTTTAAAGTAGGTCTAAATGATTATTTTAAAATTATTAAATATTTCTTAAAATGATCTTATTTTTGTTTTTAAAATAATTTTTTTATTAAGGAATAAAATTTCAAAAATGTTTCAATTTTATTGTTTTTAATAATTAAAAAATAATGTGTTTAATTATTAATTCTAATTTTCCAAAAGATTCTCAGGCGAACAAGAAAAATGGATTTTAAAAATTTTAACAATTAGATTTATATAATTTCTAAGGACTTTATTAATTCTTTTGTTAATTTAATTGTAACTGCAAATTAATGAAAGTCTGAAATAGTTACATATATTATGTGTAAGATTTATAAAAATATAAATTCTTTTTTAGTTTTGCTTAAGTTTTACTTATCAGCATAATTCTAATATTGTAATTTTTGAACTGATATTTATTTTTTGTTAAATAGGTAATTTTATATAAACAAACAAAGCTATTATTTAAAACATTGTTTTATTGAAATTTTTTTTGATAATAGGTATCATAAAGGATCTCCCCTTAAGGATGGTGGTCGTTATAAGTATAGTTTAACATTAGAAAAAAATGTATATATTGCATCTTTAACTGTCTTCCAAGTAGGGGATGTAGATGAGGGTGATTATAAAGTCATTGCTAAAAACTCTGCAGGCGAGAGTTTTGCAACTATTAATCTTAATTTTGAAGGTAAGAATTTACTGTCTTATCTCAAGAATATTGGTTTTTTACATTTATATACATAAATGTGTATATTCAATGTAAATATATATCTAAAAATCAATATATATACTGTAGAGCAAACTACTTATAATACAACTTTCAGCAGTTACATTTCTCACAAATATAAACATTTTTGGTCTTGTAATGTTATAAATATAAGCTTGCTGTAAGCTAAGGTTCCAGCTTCTGTGATGATTTCATCAATATGTATATGCAGTATATATATACAATATATATACATGTACTTTACATACATACATGCATATATACATGTATGTAAACTCAATATTAATATTTATATATACACAATTTTTAATTATTACAAATAAGTGTTTAATTAGTGTAATTATAATTATAGCAAAAAACTAAAAGTAATAAACATGAATATGATTACAAATTTTAGATTAACAAAAAATTCTCTTTTTCTATAATATGCAAATGCTACACAAAAACTATAATAAAAGAATGCAATTTTTTATTGTATTATTTTATTTTACAATTTATTCAGATGTAGAAAATTGTATTTTAGATTATTTTCAATAACATAGAATTACTCAAACATGAAACTTTAAAATATTTGTAAAAAATAATGTTTTTTGTAAACTAATATTTTAATTAAAAAAATAAAATTTAAAATTATCTCAATATGCAGGGTGAGTCAAAATTATGTGAACAATCTTAATTTTTAATCAAACATTATTAATGAAACATCTTAATTTTGTTTTGTTTTCTATTCCGATTGGTCACAATAGACTGTTGTTATGGCCTCCCCAATCTCTGGTGTTCTGGTACTAAACTGTACTGTTGAACATTGGTTTGAGTGCATTAATCGTGCTGGTGGTCAGGTTGAGACTCTGTATAACGCAAACTTTGAGTAAATGCTTTCTCTCAAATAGTGTTCACATAATTTTGACTCACCCAAGATTGTTCACATAATTTTGACTCATCCAAGATTGTTTACATAATTTTCACTCACCCAATATATATATATATGATTGCTTTTAAATTGTGATAAGCAAAATTTCATATGACCATAGGATTATATGTTATATAGAACTATTGATTTTAAAATTAAATAAGAGAATTATATTTAATTTATTTATTTATTGGTAAATATATTTATTACAGAATATATTATTAAGTTTTAATTAGTAAATATAACAATTGTTTTGAGAAAGATTTTAAAATTGTTGATTTTAATTAAAATATTTGATATTGAAGAAAATATTAATCGGTAGATAAATCAAAATAGAAAGAAACATTTGGATGTTTAGTATTTTTTACAAAAAAATTCAACAATTTTAATATTAATCAAAATTTGAAAAAGAATTCTAAATAGTTTTCATAAAATTGTTATGAAATAAAAGCTTTTAATTTTAGAAGAATTTTCATAAATTTATGAAATAAGTGGCAGGTAATGCAGAATATTTGACCTTAAAATTAGATTGAATTATGTCTTAATGAAAGTTTTATATTCTTCAATTTATATCTTTTTAAAATTAATTGTAAATTTTAATAATAAAATTTGAATTTAATATTATTGATATATTAAGTATTATTATTGAAAATTTAGAAATATTTAAAATACGGAAAACATTTGTTAAACAAATATAAAATTTATGTCTTAAGTGTAAAACTACCAATCATTGCAAAGTAAATCAAATTGTTTGTTAATGTAGATCAATGAGACTTTTAGAATTAATTTTTTAAATGTTGGCAATTTGAATTCATTATATCTGGCAATTGTTTTTTTCTATCTTAAATGATTAGATAATATAATTTAAATTATAAATATAACTTTCAGATTATATTTATTAAATTGAATTGTTTTAATACTGTCTGAAATGAATTCATTATCAATAGATATATTAAAATAAATAGATTGAAAAGAATAAAGGACATGGCTTATTTTTAATTGAAAATTTTATTCTTTAGCATGTAATGAAAAGTTAATTTTGTTTCTAATGACAGTTTTTATTGGCTTTGCTTCTAGTGACAGTGAACAAAGGCACAATGTAATTAAGTCATGATTAAGGACTTTAATTTGTTCATTCACAAGTTATTTTTCAGATCTAAATAGCAATATATATTTTAAAAGTTATTTTGAAATTTTTTATAAGTAATAAGGTTAAATTCTTGTTACAGGAGGAATACACTTGTTACATTTCAGTATTTTAACATGAGAGTATTCTTTCTTTCAAAAAGTAACAAATATAAATTTATATAATTAGATTACACAGTAGTTTAATACATAAAAGTGATTTCTACTCTTTATTTTCATTTTGTTCATACATAACTTTTTAAAAAGTATTGTTAAAGCTTTACATTTGAAATCTTGACAAGTAGTTCAGTTTGGTATTTTTGAGAGAGATTTAATTGTAATATTTCAAAGATTTTATCCTATAAAATTTTTATAAATAATAAAGAATTCTTTTGCAATGCAACAATAGCAGTATCTGTTGAAAAGGCAGTATATACAATGTTTATAAATAGTACTATTGGAGTTTGATGCAGTTGTGTGTTTTATATAAAAACACACAACTGCATCAAACTCAATAATTTCATCAAAATACAAAATTTTAGTGTATTTAAGATTTTTGTGAAAATTTAATGTTCTTTTTTTCCGAAGATTTGTTACATACATTATATTCAAATTTTTTAATATTATATAACAAAATTGTTTCTTTTTGCATATTTACATAAGTATTTGCATATTTAAAAACTGGTTTATAATGATATAATAACTGATAAAAATAGGATAATTAAAGTACAGTGTATATGATATTACATTAATCAAAATACTTTTAAGATTAAATTAAAATTTAAGATTGAATTTTTTAAATATGCAATTAAATAATAAATGTATTAAATCACGACATAATTAAATTAATAGCTTTACTTTAAAAAAATAAATTTTTTTTTATATTATTAAAATATATAATAGTAATTTAACAAATAATTGAGATATAAATGTTTTATTAAAAATTAAATTTTCTTGTATCATATTAGAAAAATTACAAACTAAATTTTGAATGTAAAATTGCCAAAATTTATTAGGAAATATGTAATGATTCTTTCAATTAAATTAAAAGAAAATTAATAAGCAATTAAATTTTATTACGTTTAATATGATAAAATTCAATTTGAATTGAAAATTACTTATTTTAATAATTTATTAAAAAAAAAAAAATTCTCAATAACATTTTATTACATCCATTTAAGTCTATGCATTCCAATATACATTCAATTCTTAAAGTAGTATAGTAATTGGTTGTTTTTATAAGGTGACAACTGTTAAAAAGGATGTAGAGATATCAGTGAGTTGCCAGTAAAAAAAATTAGGAATTAGTTGTTTGGATAAATTTAGCAAGAGCCACAAGGTCTAGTGCAAATTCTAACTTTGCTGAAGATCAGTTTTTGTTGGCTTAGCTTCCAATGACAGAAAACAAAGGCTCAATATAATTAAGTCATGATTAAGCACTTTGATTTGTTCATTCATCAAGTTTATAATTTGTAATTAATAAAAGTTTTAGTAAATAATAATATTTTAAATAGATTTATAAAGTTATATAAACTATTTTATTCTTTTAAAAAAGTTACATCTGTTTGAATTTATTTAATAATTTTTTGACATGTTTTGTTCACCATTCCTATTATATTTTAGGATGAAAATTTATGGTTATAAAAGTATTGCAAATACTTTTATAATCATAAATTTTAATCATACAATCCCCTTTATCTCCCCACCCCCTTGATTTTTAATCACCAAAATTTAATAGCATCAATCCCTCTAATACACAAACCTCCCTGCAAAATTTCAGAAATTTTTGATAAAAACACAGAAGTTTCAAAGAGGCTTCAAAGAGGGTGAACAAAATCATGCCCACCTACACACACTAATATCCATACTACAGAAAAAAACCCCAAATTTTTTGCATTTCTCAATGTTTCAAGGTCCCCTCAGTCCAAAAATGTAAAAATCTTGGGAGGGGGTCAATTTTTGACCACAACCATATTTTACCTCTGTTATATATAACAGCTGGGAAAGTAATAATATACTGTAATTCAGATATGGTTGTAATTCAGATATGAATTACAACCATATCTGCAGTCAGATATGATCAAGATTATTTCAGTAAAAAAGATTATAAAATTTGCTTCATGGAATCATATACAGGCACTTCTCACTTAATGACCTAGTTAAGTGAATTGATTGATAAATGAGCTTAGTCGTTTATATTTATTTTTGATAAAGAAATGGTCTAAAGGAGTGGGGAACCTTTTCCTACGTAAGGGCCACATTTAAAACTTTTGAACTGATGTGGGTCGCACATGAGTACAAAAAAAGAAAAAAACGGTAAATCACAATTATTTATTTATATATGATTATAAATTAACATAAGTATGCTTAATTTGACTTCTGTCACTGATTTGAATGTATTATTTCCAAAATATTTGGTTGAATATTAGTCACTGCTAGTTTTAGTTTTCATGTGAGTCTGTCATGTTAGTCGAATTGTTGTTTTACTTTTTACTAAATTTTTACTAAGTTGTAGAAAATAACAACAGAATTTTTGCTGCATATTTTCTTAAATTGGGAAATTGATATATTTGTTAATATTTTGTGCAATGAGAGACGCACAGAATATCAATGCGGCTGTGGATTGCCCACCCATGGTCTAAAGAAAACTTTCAACTTGATAACCTTGCTTTAATTTTCATCTCTCACAGAACATAAAAATACAATGAGCAAAAGTTATTAAAAAGTTGTGTCAAAGTTCATTGATTTAAAAATGTCATTCAAATTAATATTTTAGTTATTGAATCTTTCAAAGTATGATAATGGTTCCAAGTCAACAGTGTCATCATTGCAGTTATCAACAGAGTTATCATGAGTTATAAAGAATCTGGGTAAGGGATATGACTGCAAAGAAATAGAAGTACTGTACTTGTACAGGATAGGAGTCCTGGGTTTAGCTTTTGAAAAGAATCTCATTAATGTGATCTACTTATTAAGCCTCCTTTTTTCTTCATAAATTTTATGACAGCATTATAAAAGTTCATTCATTGCCATTCCACTTTCATGATTTCTTCAATGTTTGGACCCATATTCCCTACTTCTAATATAACTGTATTTAATTTTGAGAACACACCAGGTAACTGCTTTTTAGTGAACTTCTTTTGTACTTCTATTCTTTCTTCTTCTTTCCCTTCCAGTGTGGTTAGGCATCCAACTCTGTTGCTTTTTTTCAATTCTTGGTGCTTCCTCCAGGTGAAGTCATGCTCTTTCATTTTGTTGGCATCTTATACCATAGAATGCACAATAATGTACAAATTTATTAATGAGATATGTAGTCTTGAGATTGTGAATGCTTTGTGTAGTAAATACTGATTGACTGTGGGATTGAGACTAGACTATGAAAGGAAATTCCTGAGACTTAGACTGAAAAAAAGGTATTCCCCACATTGGAGAACTGGTCATTACTCTGATGGTCATTAAATAGATAAGTTGTTAAGTGAGGAGTGGCTTTATATGAGTGATTTCTATGTTATAATGATTATATTAAGTTTTTTGTACTTTTGAGTAAGAATCAAGAATTTTCTTTCATACATTCCTAATAAAAAAATTAAAAATTTAAATACCATAATATTTTTATCTAATTATATTAATTTCAGAATGATAAAGGAATTATCTAAAAATAAATTTTGAGATTATAATTAAAGATAAGAAAGTTTAGTTAGTTTAAGATTACTATACTAAAGTTTAAGAATCTTACTTAAACTTTAAGTTTTTTCTTAAATATTTTCCTTTTTTCAAATATAATTTTAAGTGATTTCCATTAATCTCATTGTTAAAGGTATTTTGATGTTTATAAATATATTTAAAGAAAAAAATGCAGAAAATAATTTTTTAATGAAGTTAATGATTTGTCTAGTTGATTTGTAAAAATTACTATATCAAATGAAAAGAAAATATTGGAAAGTAATTAAGATTTGACATTACTTTTGATCATCATTAATATGGATAAATAGTGTTTAATAAGTCATTTTGTTTTTTATTTATTTATTTTATATTTAATTGCGTCTAAAACTATATTTAATTATATTGTTTTAAATACTATTTATATTAGTAAATATTATTTTAGAAATGCTTTTTAACAACAAGAAATAAAATTATTTATTTATTTATTTTTAAGATATGCAGGAAATCTTCCTTATCTGGGGAGAAATACAAAATACAATCAAAATTATGAAAAGAACAAAACAATTAGTATAAATTTAAATGTTAAATACTACAGATTTTTTTTTCATACATTAGTTAGAAGATTGCTCTAACAAAGAAAAGATAGTTTTTACAAATGTTACATATTTGTATACTGAAGATCTAGACAAAACTACATACTAGTCATTCTCTAGTAACATATCTATAAAATATTTTTTCCTCAATAATTTAAAATTTTACTTTTTAGTAGGTGTGTAATTGAATTTTCTTTTTGACATTCTAAACAAACATCCAGATATTATAGTTGGCCATTACATCATAAATTTAATTTATTTAATATAATTTGTAAAATTGTGGATATAACCTGATAACAGGTTATATTGAAAAAGTTAGAACATATATACAATATTTATTTATCATTTGCCCTTTATTAATAATTTTTATATATTTTATTTAAATTAATTTAGGATGATGATAAATGAAATAATTGTTAATGTAGAAAAATTTAATTATAATTTAATTTCAAAAATTAAATGAAGATATACTTATGAGTAAATATTTTTAAAAAATATAGTTTTGCTAATTTTATTTATATTTGTTATCTGACTAAACATTTACAAAAAAAATTTATTATTTACATTAGTACAGTACTATTAAATTCAATTAAACATTATCCGTTAAGCACTTTTACAAATAACTATAGTTAATCTATTTACCTTGGCAGCATAACTAAAAACATGCATATGCTTTTATCTATGTTTGCCAATTGTGTCATGTGGATAAAGTTTTTGACCCTGAATGTATGTAATCAAGAGTTAGGAGAAATTGTAAATTAAACTGCTAATTCAAACATAATAAAATAAGGCAATTGCCAAGTAATAGATTCAACCAGCATCCTTCACTAAACAGCCCATTAATCATATTATCTGGTTAATAATTTTTCTCATATTTTATATGATTTTGGTTTTTTTTATTTTTATTTCAGAATTTGAATTTCAAATGTTCTAAGAGACAGCTGATATGCTTTTCATTATTATAAATTTCTCAATCATAAACATTTGATAAATTTATAATACTCTAATTTTGTAATAATTTTAATAATACTATTATAATTTCAAGGTAAGTTAATTATGCTAAAGATAATTTAAATTTTTTATTCATGGTTTAGCAGCATTACAGTATAATTATTCTAGTTTTGGTAATTTGCTACAGCTGGCAAGAGAATCTATAGCCAAAAATATATTTGAAGTTCTGATACACCTGTAATTTAAGACCACTTGATAATTATCAACATTCTGTAATGTAGAATAATGTTGTTACTTTTACATTTGTCAAACATTTGCAATACTAATTCATCTGTAATAATTTTTATACAAGAAATGCTACTAAAAATGGCCAAATCTATTTATTTAATATCAGTAAAAATAGATGCTTTATGGATTTATAATAATATAAAATATTATTTTATATTTATAATCAGTATTTATTGATATTCTTTTTCTAATGATTTTCTTCTTTTTTGAGATTATATTTTATTCAAATTATTTTAAATTCCATTGTAAATATTTTTGGTTTTAATTTATTCATTGATGAAAAGCATATAAGTTATTAATACTATAACTGTTCTAATTACTACAGCAAAGTGAGATATTTATTCTATGTATTACATAAGCAAACAATTGAACTTTATTATTCATATTTTTTAAACAAAGAATTCATTTTGTGATGATTTGACAGCAGACTGTAACTTGTGATTTGCAAATGTGATGCTTTGAAGATTGAGTAATATTTTGTTTTTGTGTATATATATATATATATAACAATATATATTTTTTATATATTTTGTTTGTTATATATATACAAAAACAAAATATTACTCAATCTTCAAAGCATAACATTTGCAAATCACAAGTTACAGTCTGCTGTCAAATCATCACAAATTGAATTCTTTGTTTAAAAAATATGAATAATAAAGTTCAATTGTTTGCTTATATATCATATATATACATATGAAGATAATTATTTAAAGAAACTGAAATTTTCAAATTACTTAGTAACATTAAGGATATCTAAATTTAGATTCTGAACATAAATGAAAATTTAGAATTTATGACTGATAAATTATAAATAAAAAGTTTAAAAGCAAATTTACAAAATTTAGGTGATAGAGGATGAAAACTGTAGAATTATAGCCTTTCTTATAAATAGAAGTGAATAAAGTTAATTTTGTATAGCTGTCTATATTTACTTGTCATAAAGCAAATATTAAAATAAATCACATTTAGAAATATCTACTTTATTCCATTTTCTGACTAACATTGATAACATGTAAGAACTTGCAGTTGTATCAGATAACAAGATATTTTTAGATACAAGTTTTATTGCTGCCTTCCAGAAATTTGCTGAACAGATATTTTTATGGTAAAGCTTTCATTTCATGAATCAAATAAACAGTTTATATAAATTTATTTTCTAAATATGTATATTTTAGGAAAATTGAATTACTGTATGTATTAAATAAAACATATTCTTGAAAAATATTTTTTGAATAACAAAAATCTTATTATTAAATCAGTATGAATCATTACATATATGCCTTATAACCAGTGCTCTTTTTCTAAACAAAAATTACTTCTAGTATGTATATGTGGTAACTGACCATATAGAGTTGTTTTTACTGAGCAGCAGAAAGTATTACATACCAGCTATCAATACTTTTTATACTATCTGCTGGTATGGCATATCAGCTTGTTCCAGCCATAAAAATAGTCCTGCTTTATAACCTTATACAGTATCTAATGATGGACATTGATACAAGCATCTTCAGTTTTGAATTTTGTTATATAATAAACTGTTATTTTAATAAAAAGAAAATGATATCTAAAATTTAATTTCAAAGGTTTAATGTAATGTTGGAGAAGAGAAATGTAAACATGTCCATTTCTTTTTATAATTTTTATATAATTATTACTTTTTATATAAAAAGTATATAATTATATATGCTAAAAATATAATTATATTATTAATATCTTATTTGTTTAATATTTTTTAATAATTATTTTTATATTTATAACATATCAAACATTAGATTTATTCAATGTATAATTTTAATGATATATTATAAAATTAATTTGGCTTGTTTTGATTAAAATTAGACATAATCAGAAGAAAGTTAAATTATCATATATATTCATATAATTCATACATTTATATTTGATGAATCTGCTGCTTGGTTTATCTGAAAATATATTGAGTTGCATTGAGAACATATTTGCAATATCAATAATTTATAAAAAGTTTAGTTTAAAGATTTACTGGTTAATAAAAGTAAACTATATATATTGTAAAATTTAAAAACTTAAATAAATATTCTTAGCCAATATAATGAAGGAATTTAATATTTATTTAATTCACAATTAATGAACTAGTTAATTATAAAATTAAACCAATTGTAATTTTTATTAAATACTTTATAATTTAAGAAGAANTCTCTTTTTTTTTTTTTTTTTCTAATATTCGTAATAAATCAGAGACTAAGACTTTAATAATACAACTATTTTTATTTTTATATCTGTTTCATTGAAAATTTCTTTTTTTAAATTGATTCTTTATCAATTTTTTGAAAGACTTTTAAATAAAGTTTTTTTGTTTTTTTATAGGACCCAGGTAAAGGAGATGGTGGAACATATAAATGTAATATTAAAAATGAGCATGGAGAAATCAATGCAAATTTGAACCTTAATATAGAAGGTAAGTTTATTTTTCTTAATAATAGAAAAGATTACTGGATGAATACAACTTAAAACTAACCTTTACTATCCAAGATAACATTTATACCAAAACAAACGTTTTGGCTAATTTAATTAATATTTAATTAGCCAAAAATATTTTTAATGTAAATTTATGTTTGTTAGTAAAGAACTAAAATCTTTAGTGTTAATAAAATTAGTGTTTAAGAATGCTGATTCATTATTTTAATCACTATAACACCACAAATACCTTTAAAATCCAGTACAACAATTAATTAAACAGTGAGAAATACATCTCATTGATGAGATATATGAAAAAGATATATTTCTTGCTGTTCAATTAAACGTTGTAGTGAATTTTAAAGGTATTTGTGGTATAGTGATTACAGATATCCAGTTTTAAGAAGCTACTATACATTATTTTAATCCAAATTTATTTGAAGCTGCTATATTACATCAATAATCTACTATGTATTATCAATATTTTAAAACATTTTTTTAAAATACAGTATGTGTGTATACTGTAGTTTTTAAATTTAAACTGTGAATATTTTTTATAATTCATAATAATTATTTCTTTTTAACTTTAGTTACAAATAACATATTTTTCAAGTAAAAAAAAAAAAAAAAACGATTAGATAGTTTTGAATTCATTGATCATTTTACTTTTAATTTTTTAAAATAATTTTTTCCCATATTATTATGGCATAGTTTTGATTCTAATATTTTTCCTTTAAAATTCTTTGTTTTTTGTATTTTATTATATTCTCATCTAAGGGACTATATATTTAATATTTCTAATTTCCAGTTAGTAGCTGTATAAAATTAGCATTTATTAATTTATAATGAAGTAATATAAATGATATTTACTTTAATTATTTATAAAATTTTTAAAATGTTTTCTTTAGTTTCTAATTTTAGTTTTCTTATATTTTATTAGTTTTAATTGTAGATAGAATTTCTTTTTAAATAAGACTGAGAATTTGAACAGTATTAATAATGGTGTGTCTGAATATTTGTAATTATTTTTTTAATTTATTGTAATACCTGAGAGACTATAAATACTTATATTATTCTTAAATTTACATGTTTATAATTTTGAAAAACTGTTTACAGTTATTATTTTCTAAAATATTTTTTGAATAGATAAGGATATATCAAGTTATGTGAAAAAATTCATAAAAGCTATTAAAGAATTACATTCTTGTTTGAATTATTTGAATTTTTTCCATAGTTTCAGAATTTTAAGCAATCATTAAATTTTAAAAAATTATGTATACACATATTTGTGATCCAATTATCTTAAATTTATTTAAGAATGGAATAGTAAGAACGTTATTCATATTTAGTTTTTATTTTTTATTATGTATCAAGTGAATATACTTTAAATAATTTACATAATGTAAAATTAAATTTTAACACAATTTATTTATATACATATATATAAATCAAAACTGCCAACCTTTAATTAAACTTAAAATATCTTATTAATAATTGTAAATTTAGCTTAAAAATGGTCCAAAAAGATTCAACAGTCTTTTTGATCATCTGTTTTCTATATAAATGTTTTCTTATTTATATATTTGAAAGTTTTATATGAAACATAAATTATTTTATTGTATAACAAAAGCAGATAATAGATTTTCTTAATGTAATTATTTTATTAAATTATATTCAGGTGCAGCAGCACCAGAAGGTGATGCACCTTCTTTTGTTGAAAAGCCAAAAATCATTCCTGAAGATGGAGGAAAACGCATTATCATGGAATGTAAGGTTCGAGCTAAACCTAAACCTGATGTTGTTTGGTATAGAGAGACTACAATTATCAAAGAAACAATTAGGATAAAACAAACAATAATAGAAGAAAAAAATGTATATATAATTAGATTAGAGTTAAAGGTAAGTTCATATTTTGTTTATTCAGATATCAAATTTTTTAAAATAGTGAAATGAACTATATGGGATAAGTAAACTTCATTTCATTTTTCTTAGATAACAACAGTATGACATAGGTTAATTAAGAAAGAAGATAAAAAATATGAATTAAAATATTTTCTAATATTTTAATCTCTAATTACCCTTACTGATATTAAAGTTTTTAAAGTACAGGATTAATGTGAACATCATAATTTCATTGGATATTACATGACAAATATTCATATATGAGCAAAATATATCTGTAGTTATGAAATGATATATTTTTAAATAATAAAAATATGAAAATATTTTAATACTTTGATTATAGACTTTATAGGCTCCATTTTTATCTAATATAAATATAAGATAAAGTGCATAAATATTTTTAGAAGCATTAAGATCAGAATGAAAGTATAATTGCTATAATTTATCTCATGATTAATTGGATTATTACATCTGTTTCAATATTAATAGTGCAGTTTGCATAAAATCATATTTTAAAATTTTCTTTCCTTACAAATATTTACTTTAAAAAATTTTTTGCATTTGTTTTCCTTCAGATATTAAATATTATATGTTAGTATGTTATGCTTAAATATATAAGACACTATTGTAAAATAAATGTAATGTCAGGATTTATACTTAAATAATAAATAGTTTACTTTCACTGGTTTTTTTTATGCTTTATTATCTATGACAAAGCTAATAAATTGAAATTTAATTAAATTGCATAATAATGTTTAATTTTTCAAAATAAAAATAAAGCTAAAAATAAACAAACATAATTTCAAACTTTTGATTAGTTTTATCAATATTTTTTTTAGAAAGGAATTAAATTAAAAAAACATCTAACATATGATAATAGATTAATTAAAGTTTCATTAGATATTTGCATATAGTCATAAACAAAACAAGATTTAAAGCTGACATTTTTTTTAATAGTTTTATTGGATACTATATGATAAATATTTACATGTGCTGTAAATAAAATGTATTCTGTGCATCAAAATTTGTAGTTATAAATAAAGATTTGATAAACTTAGTTAATGTTTTGTTAGTTTAAAAAAAAATTGTATTTTTATTTTAAAACATATTTTTTGGCATATATTAATATATAACATTTCATATTTCGGAATACAGTTGACCCCACTATAACGCGGTAGATACGTTCCACTTTATAAGAATTTTGCGTTGTAGGAATCCTTAAATACATGAGCCAATCACAGCCCGGCATGTGTGCAGTTTACAGACTATGGCTGTTTGAAAGGTTTTCGTCCATAAAATTAATCGATTTTAGACTAATTTGACTCAACATTTCCAAAACATGTATAATTTTTTGGGAATAATCCATATAAACTATGCTATAAACAAAAAATTGTAGAATTACTTACTGAGTGTGCACTGTTTGACGCCATTGCTTAAGCTTGTTTTCATCGTGGAGCAGTGCACCAAATGGCAGGCACGTTTTCTAATAAGTTATTTTTCTACGAAAAATTCGCTGAACTTTGGAGACATCATTAATAGAAATAATTTTTATGGTTGTTGAATAAGAAATGTGTTTTTCACAAGAAATGTATAAAATTACAGTATTGTATTAGACTTACAGTACCTAATTTATATACTGTACAGATGATAGTAAACTCAACTTACCTGCCTAAACTCTTTGTAGGGTGTAAGTGGTTCGGCTGCTCGTCCACTATTGGTCCAGATTCGACCAATCCTATTGCGACACGAGTTGGCGATGACATTTTACCGCATTTTACGAGTCTCTTTTAGCGTCTTTATACGAATACGGTTACAATTTTTTTGCTGTGATATATGAACCCATGTTATAGGGGGATCTACTGTACATGAATAAATTATTTTAAATATATCTGTTATTCATACTGAAGTAAAGAACAAGTAAAATGAGAAAAGAATAAAAATTATTTGTAGTGTTTTAAAATCTATGAGGTCATAAAATATTTAAAACTAAAATTTAAAGTTTTGAAGATTTATTTTCTATTATTAATAATTTTTTAAAATAAAGAATTATACTAAATAGTTTTTGAAAAAATTTTAACATTTGTAAAGTCAGTTTATGGATTGATTATTGTTTATATTAAAAAAAAAATGGTTTTTTTATGACCTGTTGGTCATGTCATACAAAGACAAAATGAAAATATCTCAATAACATAATTGATCACAGTATTCATTTGATATAAATTTGAATAATGTAAGATGATTCTTATCTAGATTTAAACAAATTTTATTTCCTCTAAATATTTGTTTTTCTAGTTGGAAAATGTTTAATATTAATATTTACAATGTTATGTATTCTTTTTAATAATGAATTAGATAACCATGTATATATTTTCTTTTTTATACTGTACTATAAAAATAAAGCACTTTTAAATTATTTTAAAATGACAAAGTTTTATTTACATGTGTTAATTATTGTACTCATTATTTTAGAATCCTGAATTGGATGATGCTGGAATCTATAGATGTAACTGTAAAAATATAGCAGGAGAGAGCAATGCCAATCTCACATTGAATATTGAATGTAAGTAAAAAAGTTTTGTGTAATAAATAAAGTTGTTATTTTAATAAATAGAAAATTATTAATAAATTAAAATATACTATAAATAAATGTATTAAAAATATATGTCTAATATAGCATTAATGAGAAACATTTATTTTCTTTTTTAGAAAAGAGATGAGTACTTTGACAATTACTTACTAAACACTTATTAAAAATTAATATTTTATTTCATATTTAAAAAATTCTTGTAATAGTAATGTACAACAGCAAATAATTAAAGTATAACAGTAGTGTTACTTTATTATAAAATTAGAGATTTCACATTTCAGTAGGAAATTACTTAAATATAAAAATAATTACCACCTTGACAAAATATATTGTGGCCGCCAGCGCCAGAGATCCTGAACACTGGCAACACTTGCCACGATCACGAACTCTGTCTGGCAACACTTGCCAACAAGAGTGGCTGGCAACGTCAAAAAAGAAAAGGCGCGAAAGTTCGTTGGATTTTGTCCGGGTGTTGCCCGAGGATGTCTGTGACAGTTCTAACCTTTTCTAATAAAGTTCTTTTTTGTTACTGTTCGTGTTTGCCTGCTTAATGTTAGATCTAAACATCAGTAGGATTGAATGACAAAGTGGTGACCCGAACGTGATCCGATTAATGAACTACCTGGACTTTCGACTGAATTGGATAGCGAACAACTCTGTGTCTATGATGGAACTTTTTTAACAGGATATGCAGGTATGATCAGTTTCTAAATCGTAAATTCGATAGGAAGACGGTGGGTAAATCTTACCGAAGACTAGGAGTACGTGACTCAGGCTAAGCTTTATCCAAGACTATCCCGCTTTCTTTGTAGCCGCATAGTTAAGCGCCCGGAATGGCGGAACAGAACGAGTTGGAAATCGGACGTGTACAGGCAAAAATGCCTATCTTTACTAAAACCAACATCAAATTATTTTTTGTGCAGCTAGACGCGGCTTTTGCCATTAATCGGATTACAAGTGAGAACACTAAGTACAACTATTTAATCAATTCCCTGGACGCGGAGATTCTATCTAATGTTAGTGACTTAGTATTTGACCGTCCAGCCGAGGCTCCGTTTTCTAAACTTAAAGATCGACTCCTCGAAATTTTCCAGAACTCCGCTGCTAAAGAGGCTAAAATTCTGCTTGAAGATCTGGCGTTAGGGGATCAGAAACCCAGCGTTTTACTCCGTAAAATGAGGGAGCTTTCAGCGGGCAAAATTACCGAAGAATTTCTTAGAAACTTGTGGCTCCAACGTCTCCCCAAAAATATTCAGACCGTATTGGCTGTTAGCAGTGATGAACTAGACAAGCTAGCCATCCTTGCTGACAAGGTTGCTGAACTTACAGAACCAACCCAACTGGCCAGCATCAACTTGAAAGACGAAAATCCCGTAATCAAAAACCTTGAACTGCAGATTTTAGAACTCACAAAGAAGGTTGCAGAACTTAATGTATCGCGTACTGCTCGTCCCCGTTATCGTAGTAGAGAGAGAAACCGACATAACCCGAATTCGAGGCACCGCGTTAGTTCACGCTCTCGGGGAAGAAGCCTCAGTCGTCAGGGATATTGTTACTACCACAGTAAGTTTGGATCAGCTGCTTGGAAATGTCGTTCGCCGTGTTCCTTTAATCGAACTGCTGATCAGGGAAACGAGAGCAGCCAGCCGCAGTAACGGCCTGTGGGTCCAGTCTGGCTCCTAAATATAGCCGTTTGTTTGTGTATGACAACAAAACTGGCCTAAATTTCTTAATTGATTCTGGAGCAGATTTATCGATCATTCCCAACCGCACTAAGAATCAGCCTACAAAGGTTGAATTGTATGCTGCCAACGACTCTAAAATCTCGACGTATGGAACAAAAGTGCTAGAACTTGACCTCAACTTAAGACGTTCTTTCAGATGGGAATTCACCATAGCTGATGTGCAGAAGCCTATAATCGGTGCAGACTTTTTGGCCAACTTTGGACTCATTCTCGACATCAGAAACAGATTACTGGTTGACCCCCTGACTTCCCTTACTACACGAGGAAGATATTATACAGGACCACCTACTTCAGTCAAAACTATAATCAGCAATTCCCCAATGCAGGATATCCTCAAGGACTTTCCACATCTCACTCGTCCTCGACCGTTTTCAGATAAGGTCAGGCACAACACAGTGCATTATATCGAGACACACGGTCCACCCGTATTTGCTAAACCTCGTAGATTGCACCCGGCTCAACTGCAAGTAGCAAAGCAAGAATTCCAGCACATGATGGAGCTAGGTATATGCAGACCATCAAAGTCCAACTGGGCTTCTCCCCTCCATATGGTGCCGAAGGGCCGTAACGATTGGAGACCTACGGGAGACTACCGTGCCCTGAATAGGATAACTGTTCCCGATCACTATCCAGTGCCACACATCCACGATTTTGGTCAAAATCTACACGGAGCTCGAATATTTTCCAAGATCGATTTGGTTAGGGCCTTCCATCATATACCAGTTAACCCAGATGATGTGCCAAAGACAGCCATTACGACGCCATTTGGGCTATTTGAATTCATTTTCCTCCCTTTTGGTCTCTGCAATGCAGCCCAATCATTTCAACGATTCATGCATGAAGTTCTGCGAGGCCTAAACTTCTGCTTTTCATACCTAGATGACATCCTCATCGCTAGCACTTCGTGGGAGGAACATAAGATGCACATGCGGCAAGTGTTTCAACGCCTAGACAAGTACGGTCTGCAAATCAATGCATCCAAGTGTACTTTTGCTGCCTCACATGTATCATTCTTAGGATACATGGTGTCTCCCCACGGCATTATGCCACTTCCGGAACGTGTATCTGCCGTAACTCAACAGAAGCGACCACAGACCCTCAAACAACTGAGAAGGTTCTTGGGCATCTTGAACTTCTATCGTAGGTTCCTACCCAATGCGGCCCATCACCAAGCTCCTTTGCACGACCTACTTAAAGGAGCAAAGAAAAACGACCAACGTGAGATTAAATGGACTGACAATTCTATTCAGGCATTTGAGTCATGTAAATCACAATTAGCAGAAGCCACCTTACTACACCATCCTTCACCAAGTGCTACCCTTGCACTTCACGTCGATGCATCTGATTCTGCTGTGGGCGCTGCCCTTCATCAAGTTACAGCACAAGGTCTCCAGCCACTGGCGTTCTTTTCCCGCAAGCTGAGTAACTCTCAGCGTCAGTATTCTGCATACGACCGAGAACTTCTGGCTGTGTATTTGGCTGTGAAACATTTCCGATTTATGCTGGAAGCACGACAGTTCACCATTTACACAGACCATAAACCATTGACGTTTGCTTTCCAGCAACGACACGACAAATGTACACCCCGTCAGTTGAGACATCTCGACTTTATAGGACAATTCTCGACAGACATCAGACACATAAAGGGAATCGATAATGTTCCAGCTGATGCTCTCTCCCGTATTGAATCAATTAGTAGCCCATCTATAGATTATAGCAAAATTGCAAAAGACCAACAGCAAGATCCTGAGCTCCAGTCTCTCCTGACTTCAAGTGACTCATCACTTGTACTTAAGAAGTTTAAACTTCCTGATAGTGATGTCGAAATTTACTGTGATGTATCGACAGGTCGCATTCGTCCATACATTCCACCTAATTATCGTCGCACTGCTTTCAACACTGTCCATAACCTGTCCCATCCAGGTGTAAGGGGCTCAACCAGATTGGTAAAAGCAAAATTTGTTTGGCCGTCCATCAGTAAAGACTGCCAGACATGGTCTCGCACCTGCATTTCTTGTCAGCGGTCGAAAATCCAGAGACATGTCGCTAGCCCTTTGGGAACCTTTCCTATTCCAGACGCTAGATTTTTAAACATTCATATTGATATTGTTGGTCCATTGCCACCTTCCAACGGCTCAACATACTGCCTCACAATCATCGATAGATTTTCTCGTTGGCCTGAGGCAATCCCGTTGCCAGATATAGCGGCTGAAACAGTAGCTTCAGCCTTATATTCAGGTTGGATATCTCGCTTTGGAGTGCCTGCCCAAATAACATCTGACCAAGGACGTCAATTCGAGTCTAGCCTATTCAAATCCCTCACTCAACTTCTTGGTGCCAAAAGAGTTAGGACAACAGCATACCACCCAATTGCGAATGGCATTGTTGAACGCTTTCATCGTTCACTTAAAACTGCCATCAAATGCCACTCTACTGACAGGTGGACGGAAGTACTACCTACAGTCTTGTTAGGATTGCGAACTGCGCTTCGTGAAGACACCAATATTACTGCAGCTGAAATGATCTATGGCACCAGCCTCCGATTGCCTGGAGAATTTTTCGTCCCAGGTTCTCAGGACATCAATCCATGTTCTTTCGTCGAAAAACTCAGAACGATGATGGCGAACTTAAAACCAGTGCCTGTTGTGCACCACTCCTATCGCAACCCATTTATCCACAAAGAACTGCACTCATGTTCCCACGTATTTCTCCGCAATGATGCTGTACGGAAGCCCTTGCAGCCTCCATACGATGGACCCTACGAAGTCGTGTCACGCGGTAGCAAGACATTCACTCTATGCATAAAGGGAAAAGAAACTGTAGTTTCTATTGATCGCCTGAAACCGGCTTTTATTCTCGCAGCGAGCGAGTCGGACCAGTTACCCCCAACGTCTCCAATGCCAAGACCAGCGACGACTAAACATACGACAGAAGATCGAGCCCCAACGCGACAAACTACCACGCGCTCTGGCCGACATGTATCGTTTCCCGTTCGTTTCGTGTCTCAGACACTGGTGGGGGAGTAGCTGTGGCCGCCAGCGCCAGAGATCCTGAACACTGTCTGGCAACACTTGCCAAGATCACGAACTCTGTCTGGCAACACTTGCCAACAAGAGTGGCTGGCAACGTCAAAAAAGAAAAGGCGCGAAAGTTCGTTGGATTTTGTCCGGGTGTTGCCCGAGGATGTCTGTGACAGTTCTAACCTTTTCTAATAAAGTTCTTTTTTGTTACTGTTCGTGTTTGCCTGCTTAATGTTAGATCTAAACATCAGTAGGATTGAATGACAAAATATCATTACAATTCCAATATTAGGATCTATAGAGTTATTAAATAATTGATATTTTTTATTTCAGAATATACTATTCTATCTCCAATTGAAAAACTCTTATTTTAAAGAGTTTTATTTTAAATTGAGTTTTTTTTTCAAAATATTTATATTATTCTTCCACTATATATTATCAGATGTTATTTGATTATGACAATCCTTCACATTCCTGATAAGTTAGTAACTTTTTGAATTTTATGACAATATAATGATTGATTTAGTGACAGTGATGATAGTATATTTTTAAAAATATTATAAAAATATTCTTTGTTTTTATACAATTTTTTTCAGTTATTTGTATATTTTAAATAGTTTATTGTTATATGAATTTTTTAAAATTAATGTTAAAAATAATTTCAATGCATTTTAAGTGTTTTACTATTATTTATTAAAATTTGACTAATATTTTACAATGAACTGTTTAACAGTGGCTCCTGTGATTAAAGAAGTACCTAAAGTTATTCATCGGGAGAAACAAAAAACAATTGTTATTGAATGTTATGTACAATCTACTGCCAAACCAGATGTTCAATGGTATAAAGAAAATACAGTTGTAAGAAGAGATAGTCGGCATTCAGTTAACATAAAAGAAGTATCAAAAGGACAATATGCTATTGCTCTAGAAATTGATAAACCAACAGCTGTCGATAAAGGCAGTTACAAGCTTGTAGCTAAAAATGAAAAAGGAGAAGTTACATCTCCTGCAATTGAAGTTGATCTAAAAGGTATTTTTTTTTTTATCAAATAATGTTTTATTAATGATGTAAAATGTTTTTATCGTTCCAAATATCTAAAGAGTCTTTAAATGAAAATTTAAATGAAATATTTGAAAATTATAAAAGAAAAGATACATTTAAAATTTTGGAATTTTTCTAATAGCACTTAAATTTCACTATTTTAAATACTCATACCATCAGTTCTTTTTATATGACTAATTAAAATTTCTTATTTGGTTCATATTTTAATTCTTATTTACATGAAGATAATAATAAAAAGTTTAGCAGTTTTTAATTTATAATTTTATCAAAATATTTTAAAATTAATACAATAATCAGTTCACTTTATATCCAACATATGAAAGTATACCTTTTCAGATTTAAAAAAATATAAATTGTGCTTAATAGTTGATCTGGAACAGTTAATTGGGGAAGAGGATATATAAGTTTAGTGGTTAATTAACTGAAGTAATTCTAATAACCAAGATATTAGAATTTATAAGGCTATTTTTTAAAAGCCATATGAAAAATTAATTACAAATAATAATTTTTTATTTTATTAACAAACTTTATTTGTTTTAAGGTGAACCTTGTTACTTGGTGTTAATTTTATAACTACATTTAAGTTTACATGTAGTATTTTACCGTTATTCTTTTGTACATTTCTTTAAATCCAATGGTAGGATTACATAAATTTTATGACAATATTTATGAAAATGAATTTTTATCTTTTCATAATATATGTTGATTAATAAGGTACATAATTATCAGTAATTTTCAATTAGTTCCATATCATTTTAGCTCGTTAGTAATTTGAATAAAAAAGCTATTTATTTTATACATTTGGTTTATTGTTAGGTTACCTAGCCTAGCTCTATAGTTTAAGTTTTGGTTCGTATGAATTGTTTTGGTAATTTCATATTCTTGAAGATATTTTACTAATCCTTCACAGTCCTTTAACAAATGAAACAAGAAAAAGTCACTGGATATACACCAATAGCAATGTTCTTTAGTGAAATCTATATAAGTGTTGTTGACAAATAATGAGTATTTGTTGAGTCTGATTTGAAGTAATAATTGTTTAATATTTGTATTAGCGGTTATAATGTTCGAGTTTGTAGGTATATTTAGAGTATTTAAGTACCAAGGATGATAAACCAAGTTCATTATTGAATTTTGGTCCTTTATTATGGACTGTGACAAGGCTGATTCATTCATTAGTGTTTAACCATATTTCCGGTTAGTCTCTAAATTATCAAATATTGCACTTAAAATGCCAAATGTTTGAAGTAGTTTATTAAAAAAAATTATAAAATTAAATTTATATTGCCAGGTGTTTTTATTAGAACTTGAGTCATTGATTTGAGTTAGCATAATTTGATGTAGAAATTTTACATTGTCATTGTTAGTATTTTTTTAATCTGTAATAAAACCTGATTAGTCTTTTCAGAAAAAAGGAAACAATTGATATCTGTTTGTTTTGACGAAGCAGTTTCTAAAAATGGCAACTTTAGGTGACATGATGGGATAATTCTTTGAGTGAAAGGAAATTAGCTGTAATTTCTTTGATGGTAGTGTTATTATATTAACTTTATCTGAAATAAGATTACAAATTTATCTCTTATTGCATAACCTGGGACTGATCTTTTGATCTTAAACAGTTTACGTAAGTAAGTAATGTAAAATTTTTCCAAGTCGTAAAGTGAATCAAGTGCCCATATGAGGCTAGCACAGAAAATTGAGGAATTAACATATTAAATATTTTAGTCTTTAATTTTAGATCTGTAATTTTTAATGCTGAACATAAATAGATAACATTGTCAATAAGTAAATTAATTTTTGTAGTAAGGTCTTTCAAATGTAGATGAAAATTACAGTTCCAGTAATTTACAGTTCAAATAAATTTGAAACTATTGAGGTTAAAAAAGAATATAGCAGATTCAGTCTCCTTGGATTTAACAAAGGCAAATTGGAATTTTGAATACAATTTTTGTTCTTTTATCCAACATTGAAAATGCTGCTAGTATTGATGTAAAGCATTTTCTTATAATCAGTAGAAGTGCTATTGGGTGATAATTCTCTGGTTCTTTCCAGTTTCCGTTTTTGTATATCATAAGTAGTTTAGCCATGTTCCAAGATTCCAGAAAATTGAATTTATTATAAAATAAATAAATCAAGTAGTAATTGTTTACCTAATGGAGGCAGTAATTTTAAGAATTTTGCAGTAATTAAGTCAGTGCCTGGAGAAGATTTTGATTTCAATTTGCAAATTGAGGCTTCCAGTTCTTTGTAAGTGAAGAGAAAATCCAAAATTTCATTATTCGGATTTGTGAATTCCAAATTTGGTAGTTTATCAATAATCGGAAATCTTTTAAAATAAAGAGACTAAGTTAACATTTCTATANAAGATTTTGATTTCAATTTGCAAATTGAGGCTTCCAGTTCTTCATAAGTAGGATCCAAAATTTCATTATTCAGATTTGTGAATTCCAAATTTGATAGTTTATCAATAATCGAAAATCTTTTAAAATAAAAAGACCAAGTTAACATTTCTATACACGATTGTCATTCAGAGTCTTTTTTCCTTAGTCTTTGTATTGTTGTCCAAAAGATATCGTTATTTTTATTTATAATCAGCCACTGTTGTAAATTTTTGAAATATTTTTTCTTTTTAGATTTTAATAAATTAAAATAAATTGTTTTTAGTTTTTTGTAATTATTAAATGTTTTGTTTATATAAGATTTTCTGAATTGTAATAAGGCTTTGTTTTTCTTAAATTTTAAAATATAACAGTCAAACCAAGGCTTTTTAAATATATGAAATTTTGTATTGTTTAACTTTTGCATTTTTATAAATTTTTTTATTGTATTTTCCAATTGAGAATATATTTCAACTAACGGATGAGCCTGGTATTGCTTGGACAAAAAGTAAAGATAGCAAAGATTAAGATTATTAGATTATAGCCAATTTTACCCATTTTCACTGAGTGCAAGAATTAGGTACCCCCCTCTTATGAGACTAGTTAGAAAATTTTTAGATATATGCTTACCACACTGATAATTAAATTAATGCTTACCACACTAATAAAACTGGATAACGATAATTAAGACTCACTGCAACCACTAACTGGTGCATAGTATCACTAAGTGATGTGAATAATAAACATTTTTGTAATTTTTTCTGGGTTTTTCTTCAGATTTACTAAATTCGAAAAATAAGCTGGATCTTCTAGAATCATTCATAAATATAAAATTGAACATTAAGATGAAGAGTTTGAATAAAGCGAACTTATGCACATGTGCTCCCCGTGGTAACCTTTTATATGATGGAACACTAAACTTTGTTGAGAATTTTTCGAATGGTCTAAAAATATGTTCAATTTCCTGCATAAATGCAAAAAAGGCATCTAAAGTAGTACAGTAGAAGCTGAGTTCTACGGGGTAATCCTTAACCCTCTCCCTCTGCCCTGCGGTGGGAATTTTGAAAAATTCCTTCTTAGTGTATGTTCTCATGACATACCCTAACTGTACCAAATTTCAACTGTCAACTCCTAACCATTTGAGCTCTGCACTTATTATTATTATTATCATTATCAACCCATCTTGATTATATTATAAGATTCCATCTTCTAGTCCAGTACAGTGGGTGATTGGTTAACGAACATAATCCATTCCAAGACTTTTTTTGTTATCCAAATTGTTCGTTAACCAATTATTGATTTACCATAGGTTTTTATGGGAATTTGATTAATTCATTCTGGAGACCCCAAAAAATAAAAAATATATACTTTCTTACTATGTTTATTTATTTATATGTAATAATAAAAATACGATATAAAATAATATCATAAAATAATATAAATAAAAATAAAAAATAAAAATATAACAAACAGGAAAAACATGACTAACAAAAACACAGCCTTGCATTTTCATGAATCATGTTTTTTCCGTTTGTGGTTGGGGTTAAAGAATCTGTCTAATGTCTGTTGCTTTTCTCTCTTCTTTGGGATTTTTCAGAAGTAATTAATAGCATTGTAATTGTAGAGATCCTCAAGCCTATAAACCTCAACCTGGTTTGGATGTCATTCTAAGACCATTGTTCTGACATCCTCCCACTTCTTCAAAAGATGTTTAATAGCAGATATTGGCATTAATCCTCTTTTTCAGAAGAAAACATATCTTGCCAAGTTTCTTGGTGTTCTTCATTCAAGAGTTCTTGGCGTTTTTCTGTCGTCAGATCAGTTTCAGGTTCCATTATGAGCTTTTCAATGTTCTTTATTTCTCGGATGTGATTTTTGTTACTCCTTTAGCTGCTTGAGTCTTCTTGATTATACAGTAAGTTTCTTAGATAAGATTGAACTGTGGCTTACTGTAGACCTGTTCAAGCCTTACTGCCGAGCAACATCAGACATCTGCCCACTCTCTACTATTATACTCTCACCTTTCAAAAATAAAAACCCACTCTCATGACTACTATAAAAGAATTGTTTCTGTCAGAAAAATAAAAGGCTGAAATTACAAGGGAGAGTTTCAAAGTTCTGAGGAATACTATTCAATCAGTATATATCGGGTTGAGCGTCGATGTCGATGTCTCCCATGCTCCAAAAAGTTTCGAATTGTTGTCTGAAGACAAGGGAAGACCAATCGGTATTCATTATTTTATGTCACTTCTTGTGTTTGTTCTGTGAGGTGTTTGTTGTCCAAACATAAAAGTTTTTGTGAAAGTGTTCATTATCCGATTTATTTGTTAACCAAACTGTTCGTTAACCAATCACCCACTGTATTTGAGATATATTTTATTCTTTCACTTATTTGTAATTGATTTGTTGATAGTCGTCATAAGTTGTTTGGTTAAGGTACAGTACATATTTATTTTTATAAACATGATTTTTTGCTACTTTGATAGTAGTTCTTACTGGAAAATGGTCTGCTAAGTCACAATTTAATACTTGAATATCCATACACAGATCTGTTAATAGTTCAGAGCATATTGTTAAGTCAATCACTAA